TGATGGTATGGCATGATGGATAAGTATCTGCTTGTATTTCTCAGCATTGGGGCACCATTGATCCTGAGCAAATCTGCAACTCAATTTGCAGAAATGCAGCCCCAAACTTGCAAGGAACCTCCACCATGCTTCACTGTTAAACACTCATTATTGTACCGCTCTCCTTCGGTGAACAAACTGCCTCCTGCTACAGCCAAACATTTCAAATTGTGACTCATCAGTCCAGAGCACCTGCTGCCATTTTTCTGCACCCCAGTTCTATGTCTTTGTGTATAGTCGAGTTGCTTAGCCTTGTTTCCACGTCGGAGGTATGGCTTTTTGGCCGCAATTCTTCCATGAAGACCACTTCTGGCCAGACTTCTCTGAACAATAGATGGGTGTACCTGGGTCCTACTGGTTTCCGCCAGTTCTGTGCTGATGGCACTGCTGGACATCTTCCGATGTCGAAGGGAAGTAAGCGTGAAGTGTCTTTCATCTGCTGCATTAAGTTTCCATGGCCAACCACTGCCTCTACGGTCCTCAACGTTGCCCGTTTCTTTGTGCTTCTTCAAAAGGGCTTGAACAGCACATCTTGAAACCACAGTCTGCTTTGCAATTTTTGCCTGGGAGAGACCTTGCTGATGCAGTAGAACTCCCTTGTGTCTTGTTGTGCTCAGTCTTGCCATGGTGTATGACCTGTGACAGGAAACTGTCTTCCACAACCTCACCTTAGTAGCAGAGTTTGGGTCTTCCTCACCCAGTTTTAAGCCTCCTACACAGCTGTTTCTGTTTCAGTTCATAACTGTTTCAACCTACATATGAAATGGATGATCATTAGCACCTGCTTGGTATAAATGATTAATCATACACCTGACTCTAATCCTACAAGATCCCTGACTTTGTGCAAGTGTCCAAAGTGTGCAAGTGTAAGAATTGATGCTGGTTTGAAGCCAAAGGGTAGTCACACCAAATATTTGATTTGGGTTTTTCTTCTGTGATTAATCATACACCTGACTCTAATCCTACAAGATCCCTGACTTTGTGCAAGTGTCCAAAGTGTGCAAGTGTAAGAATTGATGCTGGTTTGAAGCCAAAGGGTAGTCACACCAAATATTTGATTTGGGTTTTTCTTCTGTTTGCTCATTTTGCATTCTGTAAATTGATAAACATAAACAATTACAATATATATTTTTGAAAGCACTCTTACATTACAGCATTTTTTCACACCTGCCTAAAACTTTTGCACAGTACTATACATCTGGACTTTTGAAAGCTGTCCCAGACATCCTCACTGGCTGCCGGACTCGGTGTGGGGCTTAGTCTTTTTTGAGGGGTTGCCACTTGCAAAGGCCTCATTTAAGCAAAGAATCCATATAAGCAAAAGTGTTCCCTGTCACTCCCTTGAAGCTCACAAAATACCTTTCTTTTCTAAGCAAGCAGGACATATATTCAAAGAAAACACTGAGTTGTGGACAACCACCATTTGTATTTTCTAAGGAATATGGAAAATACACAGGATATTCTTGCAAATAAAGAGACTGGCATTTGGTTTATAGATGCCAATTCCTCTCTTTCTCAGTGTATGCATGTATCCGTGTGTGTATTTTTAATAAAGGCAATCTAAAGAATTAAATTCTGGTGGGTCAGGAAGACCAGCTGTCATCAGGCAGGTGTAATGCTCATAGGGGCATAGAAGTTCCAGTCACCCTGTTGCCTATCCTCATCATAGAGTTTGCCTGGGGCAAAAGTGTCAGGCTCTTTTTGAAGAAGCCCTGGACAGTTATGTACCCTCTATCCCTTTCTGAAAATAAGTTGTTAGAGCATGTGAAATTAGCATTCTTCTTGATTTGAGAGATGGACAGTATGATATGGAGGGCAAATAGAAATATCAGTGCTGAATTCTATCAGGTTTTCCCAAAAGATAGATAGCATTGCTTGCAACTGGCAGCTGCTAGTTTTTATGCTCCCAAAATAGTACTGAGTATGCATTCAGACTGAGGATCGCCAGATGTGGATTGTTCCACTTTGTACTCTTGTGAAGAGGTAGGCCCCAGGAGGCAACAGCTGGATCTCTACATGTCATTATGGGTAGGCTTCCTTATTCAGAATTAGACTCCACCGCCATCCCTCCCTGCAACACCCCCACCCCAAAATCTGAATGCTCGAGGAAAGGAGGAGTCTGGACTTTTAATGACTTACATGTTTTGTAATAGAAATTAAAGCATATTCCATTGTTTGTTTCTTTTACACCCAAAAGATCTTTATATATCAAGAAAGGAAGGGGGAAAGGAGAGAAAATGTTTAACTTCATATGATGGCTTGACATGACCATTAAACAGGTCATAACACAATAATCATTTACACAAATTACTATAAACTACTATGTCAGCGGAAGAAACAGTTTCTGTTAGTACAGCAGAAAGAGTTGGAATAGAAGCAGGAAATGTGAGCATTTATTTAAGAGCAGCTGTACAAAAAGTTTGTACAAAAAGGAGCTGAGAACCAATTCCTTTGGTAACCATGGAGCATAAAATAAAACCTGGCTTCATTTCAAGTGTGTATAGATAAAGTTCAGCTTCCTGTAAGCTTATGTCATATTTGCATCTGATTACCTGAAGCCTTCAAAGTGAACCATTTGTTGCAGAACAGGGTAATGCATTGTTGTCCCATCAGGCTGATATGGTTGCCAAGGCTGGTGTCAAAGCTTGGCAGAAACAGGCACATGCCCAGCCCAGGCCCACTTCCTGCTATCCCCTGGAGCCTCCTAGTCCTTCTACCGCTCTTTTTTGCTGCTTGTTCTTTATCCTTCCTGAAGAAGTCAGGAAGCAGCTCTGAAGGTGAGAAGATGGAGCAAAACCTTCATTGATTCCGAGCCCCTCAAGCTGACTCCTGCTGATTGCCTCCATGCAGTTCTCTTGGCACTGTTAGGAAAGTAGTGTTTTCTTCTGAGATTTTTTTTTTTAATTATCCAGTCTAGCAATGGAGCTAGAATTTCCATGGAATTATCTATCCAAGTCTTTACCAAAGCTAACCCTGCTTCACTTGTGTGATCAACCAAGGCTGGCTAGGTGCTGCAATCTGCCAAAAGATGCTACTGCAGGTTAGATCGGCATTAGCCTCAAAACAAAGCATGCCACCAGATAAGTTGCTTATTTTGTGATCAGGACTGGAGTTTTTACATGGCATTGATAAGAACTGAAGTTCTGATAAATTAAATAGTTCAAAACAGGAACAACAGAGAAACGATGTCCATCATCCTTCTCCATCTGTGCAATATCCAGCCACAAGGAACTATAATTGCACAGCTAGCATTGCCATTAGTTTGCTGAGGCCAAGTGGCAGCACGTGTAGTGACCAGAAAGTCCCAGAAAGAACAATGAGAAACCAGAGAGAAGACATACTTGGCTTATTGAAAGAGGAAAGCACTCCTGGAAGGCCTTCCTGGCTTGACCAATAACACTGCACCCAGCAATGTTTGACTGCAAATCCCATTTGTAATTTTGCATCACTGCAATGGGTGTATAATGGTTTATCTCAAATCACTGCCTTTGTACATACATCTGGTACTGAAAATGGCTATGTGCAAAATGCAAACTCGGTTTCTTCGCATATTGTATAGCTTTGCCAAAGAAAAACACTACAACTTTGCTCATTGGGGAAAAAATAAGCCCAGGCATTTTTCATCAAATGCTCACCATGTTTCCTATCCATCCATCCATCCATCCATCCATCCATCCATCCATCCATCCAATTTTAGTTTGTTTTGCCTGTGTGAGAACAAGAAATGTTTCTAAGTAGCTACATTTCTGGCTTTAAGCCAGAACATAATCAAATTGCCCTTTTTCTAGCCCCTGAAGTCCATCTGTCCAAGTGGAGGTTGGCATACTCCTGTAAGGGTCTAAGAGAATTCGAAAACATCGGACAAGGAGGAAGCCAAGGAAAATAAACAATAAAAGTACAAAGGCAAAGGTAATTTTCTGTTCCAAGGTAATGCCAATTTCGGAAGGAAAGTTTCTGGAGGAAAAGAAATTGGAGGTAAAAGGCTCTCCATCCATTCTTCAGGAATCCTAAAGCAGGAGTTTCTTTTCATCTTTGATGCACATAGTCAGAAGCGGAGCCACTTTGAAGTCCATTGTCCTCTGCAATGGAATTGATGAGAAACAAGTTACAACTGAGACCTATTTCCAAATATTACAGTGTGAAGTGCTTCTAGTTTGGGAATCCAAGCACTTGGCTCCCCTCCCACAATAATCCAATCATATTTCATGATCAGTGACTATTCTCAGCCCCTATCAAATTCTTGTTTGGTGGGGAACTCTCTCCTCCCCATAGCCTTTCATCCCATTAAAATATTACAAACTACTGCTAAGCTGAGATGTATTTACTTATTTGTGAGATTTTGATCACATCCTTGTGGCTGCCATTTTGACTTTTTTGCCTCCCCTAGAATGACCCATCTGTGCTGAACATAAGGAGGAAGCTGTGTCTCAGCCTCCTTTAGTAAAAGAGAATCCCAACCAATGTATTTATCTGGTTATTAATATCAGTATTACTGGACACTTATTAAAAAGGCCTCAAAGGGCATTCAAATGAGCTAACAAATTGTGCTTGGGAAGAAGAAATGATAATTAACCAAGCTGAATTTTACTTCAACAATTTAACAAAGAGAGGAAAAGTGGTTATGCTGCTCCTAGAAAATCATCATTCAAGTGTGAGTAAATTCACTGTGTTCAAATTTTGACTTGTGTTGGTAGCACTTATAAGGGGACGAAAGGCTGGGAAGGGGAGAGAGAGGCTGCAGCTTCATTGCTTACAGTTTACAGAAGGCAGGGGACATCATAGGACCCAAATCCATTATCTCGTATCCTGCCTCATTGCTGACCCTTTCATCACCACGTGTTTGTCTTGGCATGAGCAATCAATGCTTGTGCCTGTCATCTGGGTATGTAGCTGGTGTGTCTGTCCTTCAAGATGGGGTGAAGCCATGCCTCTTCTTCTAAGGACCTTTAAGGGGATTCTCCTTTTCTGCATTACAGGAAGCCCCACACTTGCTTAAGCTTAAAATGGATCCTGACACATACTCCCAGTGCCCAAACAGAAAATGACAGACACCACTTGTAATATGCCCAAGAAATGTATACACCACATTGTGAAGATGAAAACCCCTAGACAGTGCATGCGTGAGAATAAAATTCCCTTCCAGATCCATCACACACTTGGAAGTGAGATATCTTATCACTTGTGCAAGATAAATAATGCCATAATTCCTCTTCTCTGTGTTTCTACAAACATCACTGCTAAGAGCAGTGTTTGAATATATTTTCCATATGGTGACATTAACAAACATTAATGTCAACATATTGTCAGTAATGCCTAATTGCATGTAGCTTTAAACCATGTATCCACATGAACTGTCATGTATGAAGAATGAAGTACACAAAAACTGCCCAAAGGAGGCAAAAAGGCTTTAGGAAGATTTTAGCTTATCAACATGTGACCTGAATGAGATAGTGAAACTCGGGAAAAATACTAGGTGTGAGAAAATGTCAAGGTGGGATTGGCCAGACTCTGAAGGAGTTGTTGGAAGGTTTAAAAATGTATGGGAATCGGATTTTTGTCAGGCTATCCCTTAGAATGAGGTACTGGCCATGATGGATGTCTTGCCTCAATTCTTCTGGAATTTAAACCAGGCTGTCTAGACCAGAGTTTCTCAACCTTGGCAACTTTAAGATGTGTGGATTTCAACCATTTTGCTGGCTGGGGAATTCTGAAAATTAAAATCCACATATCTTTAAGTTGCCAAGGTTGAGAAACCCTGGTCTATACCGTGTTGGGTGGGTATGCATACACATGTAAATGAGTGGAAGTTTTCTTTCAGAAAGTGAACAATAACAGTTGTAAACCTGCATTTGTACTGACTCACTGGAAATAGAAAAGAACAGATGCCACTGGAGGTGTCATAAAGACTCTTTATATCCTTTAGTGTGATGTGTGACCACATCATGTAACACCAAGAGTTGCTGGGTAAGAACTTTCTTATAAGTGATTGCTCTCCAGAGGAAAAGAAGAAAACTGTCAGATTTGAGGATGAAAATTCAGAATGGTAAAACTCCAAATAAATTGTGAAGAGCTCCCAAAGGCTCAAATGAGGGAAACGGGCAACAGTGTGACAAATGACAGGCAAACTAGACAACATGGAAAGTGTGTATTCTTGCTACACTTTTTTTAATTGCAAGAAAGTGGTGCCTAGTGTAGTTCAGGGCCACCTTACACAGAGTGGAGGGCAAGTCTAATCCTTCCTTTAAACCAGGGTTTCTCAACCTCAGCTACTTTAAGATGTATGGACTCCAACTCTTAGATCACATGACCATGGGGACACTACAATGGTCATAAGTGTGAGGACCAGTTGTAAATCACTTTTTTCAGCACTGTTGTAACTTCGAACAGTCATTAAATGGATGGATGTAAGTGGAGGACTACCTATATGGTGTATTTTGTAACTGCTCATTTATTTTGTGTTTCAATATGTTTTGCTTACTTGTTTTGTATATTAATCTTATTTATTATAAATGTTTATAGCTCCTTTAACAAAAACAGCCAAACCAACCCAAGCTGGATTACAAAAAAGCCCCCCCAATGAAATGGTTTAATGGCAGCAACAGAGCAGCGGCAGCAAAGCCGCTTGAACCAATGTATTTTTCATACAATAGTTCTGAAATGGCTACTGGAAAACAAAGAATGTTGATAATGTTTTAAAATCTTCAGGTCCATTAAGTGGGTAGATAGAGCAAGGTGACACAACTCCATAATTCAATTTCTGCAGCACAGAGATTTAAAAAACCTATCCCAGCGGCAGAAAGAGTTAAAATGCCAATGATCTGACTCCTGATTTTTCCTTCACTTCAGAATCTGTCTCTAAATTCTATGTGTCCTTGCTAAAATATTATGACTGTGGGAAAGTATTCCTACTTATACATATTCAGTTTTAACATTCACTAATGTTAGGTGCTTCTAAAGGCGGTGCTTCTCAACCTCAACAACTTTTAAGATGTGTGGACTTCTACTCCCAGAATTCCCCAGCACTAAGGCACTGCTTGATCTTGGGCATATGGTTGCAGGGAAACTATGGTCCAAATCCGTATTTTCCATTAAACCTACTAAATGCCTTTGACCAACCTCCTCTTTTTATTAACTGAATAAATGCAGGGTGTTTGGACAAAATGTTGTTCTGAGTGAATGGAAGACAACTGTAATAAAAAGAAGCTGGTAAAACACACTGGATTGAATCCTCATGGTCTCATACTTAGTGACAGAACTATTAATATCACTGTTGGTCATACTCAAAATAATCAGTTTATTTTTATTATTCATAGTATTAAATTTGATTTGATTTTTCTTTGGTCTGCTCTAAATCTGGAGCCAATCCAAGGTGGGGGTTTATTTGGTTGCAATAGCAGAGAGGTTAATTTGGTTCACAACCCGCTGCATCTATTTCCATATCACTGAAATATCTTTATATTTTGTTGAAAGTATATTTTAAATAGTTAATGGAGTGGCTGTATGCAAGTTATCTTCAGCCTATTAGAAACAAAATCACTTGCTTAATTTTTCAGCTTAACACTTGATGCTGTGACTTCTAGCAAGTAAGCACAAAGTACAAAACACTTGGCTTAACAAGACACCTTATTCTTTTAAGCACAGACAAACTGTGTTAAATTGTCAAGCAAAATAAGTCCAAAAAACTGAAGTCTGTTTAAAGAGACACTATTTCTTATAGTGATTTAAAGGCTAAGACTTCTGGCCATTAGGTATCGAACATAGATCTCTATATGACATAGAAAGAATAATAACAACAAATACTCATGCTTTGAATAAGTTTGCTATGCATCTGAGTTTCCAACTGGGCTCCAAATTAAAACAAATAGAATGTATTTGATCAGTGGTATATCCAGAGATTCACATCAAGCTCTGCAAATTGAATTAAATTAATGTTAGCAAGAGATTTATCCAAACATGCCACACCAACAATAATCCCGGTGCCTTTCATATACACCTTGTCTCTTCAACTGCTAAGTAATCCAGCCTGGAGGTTTTAGAATCAAAACATAGCTAAAACATTTTAAATAAATTGATGTAGACACCGGATTAAGAGTTTGAATATTCAGTGAGAAATAAAGTGTTAATTATAAAATCAGAAAATGCTTAAGAGGTTATCCAGATCTCTGCAAAATTCCAGAACAGTATTTATTGTCTTTTAAAATATATTTCACAAAGAGTGTTTCAAGTTTTCAGAAGTTGTTATTAGTCTAATACATTTCACCAAGCGCGTACATAAATGAAGGTGCAGGACAATCCTTTTTCTCTATTATATTCTATTTACTTCAAGTCCTACTATAACAGCCAAACAATTACTATGATTTTATAAACATAGCATAGCCATTTTATTCTTTATGCCACAAACAATTTGATATTAGCAAATCTCACTAATTTTAATCTTTACTACCAAGGAAGCTCACTTAGATGTACAGCCACAATCACAGCACAACAATAACAATTTTAGAAGATTTTTTTTTCAGACAATAGCAGATTTCAGGAAAACGTGTATGTATAAAAAATGTTAACAAAAAATCCCCCTAACAAGCAAACAAACAAAATTACAATGGTTTAAAATAGATTTACAGCTCTAATTTCATTGCATTGTTCTGACTGATTATTCTCAGCTAATCTGATCTGTTTTTTAAAAACCTTTCATATGCTCCATCAAACCAACATTGCTTCACACCAATGGAAAGAAGTGATTGTAAGGTCAGATGCTCCCGCTGTAGTACCTTTGTCCTGCCAAGGGTATTATCTACGGCAGCCGTGACAGGTAATTCTGTTTCCATTTTCTCTGGAGGTGGCCGAGGATCCACAGCAGAAAGCGATGAGGAACCTGAATGGCTGAAAATATTAAAAGAGATATGTTTATTTTTCAAAAGCAGGAAAGCCATTTCTACTTTTCAGGGATTAGCTGACAAGTCGCTGTTTCTTTGACTCAAGCCATCATTTTAGTCCCTGTGGATTGAGCAGTGGCTCATGGATTTGGCTTCAGGAAGAGGCTGCAGCTTAGCAGCTTCGCTGAACCTATTTTCAGAGAACATTTCCATTCCAAAGGAGTAGCATTTCTAATAAAAATCCCATTCCATATCCTGTTGGAAAAGGAGCTAAGCTGTACATTCCACAATGTTACTTCCTTTGTGCTTTATTGATTGCTATCAGTTATCTGCCTTTCTGATCCAAACAATTATTATTCGTGCTTTAGCCAACTAGAATATTCATTACAGTCAATGACTTTCAGGAACACCCATTTGTAAAAGGTAAGAATTCAGGGAGATTGATAGCAGAAGATAAATAAATGTTGTGATTAAGCTGCCTGTTTGTCGTAAATGCACATTTTATTTTTCCTGTTATATCTGATTTGGTACCTGGCATTTTCTGCTCCTAGCAGTTCTCTTTGGCTGCATTTTCTCTGCTTCTTCTCCACAGGAAAAGAGAAGAAGGATTGCACAGTCCCCCAGGATCTAACAGCTTAATAATATCTAGTGCATGCTATTGTAATCTGAGGCTTTTGAAGGGACCAACTGTACAGCTTTACGGACCAATATCAACTGCACAATCCTCACAATGAAAAGGGACTGAAAGAACATACATCTGCTTTTCTGGTGCCAACCAGCCATGATATCTCTGTCTCCATCCTTAAATTCCCATTTAAATTTCCCCAATAGTCAGCACTGTAAGCCACTCAGTTGCTCTGTCCTAATTAAGAGATTTTAGGTTTTCCCTCCTCTTCAGGAGGACCTTCCTTCCTTCCTTCCTTCCTTCCTTCCTTCCTTCCTTCCTTCCTTCCTTCCTTCCTACCTACCTACCTACCTACCTACCTACCTACCGGACCTCAGCACTGAATGTCAGCAGTAACTCACCAGATAATGGTAGTGCAGTTTCCTGCCAAGTGTAGTGGGAAATTAAGGACTGATTACTGTCCCTATTACACGTTTAAGTCCCTCAAGCCCACACAGACACAAAAATTAAAACAAAAACAAAATCTATGAGGTGACCTCACTATATTAGCATCTAGCCCTTGGTGGCCTGTGACCACCAGAAATAATCAGCTTGCTTCTTACAAGAACAAGAATTTCTCCCGTTTCCCTGAAGTTGTCTTCCACGCTCTCCCATTCTGTGTAAGTCATGTGTACAATAGACTCTGTTAGCGTCTTGAGGTCTATTTTTCTACCTGCAGCACACAAATGTTTCATAATACATGGGGGGAGGGGGGTATTTCATAGGCTTTTTTGGCTGGTGGTATTTGGAATACCTTTTTAGGGGTGCTTTTACAAAATTAGAATTATCACTGGAGGCACAAATGACCTCATGGCTCAAATTATCCTACTTTGGACTTGTTACTCAAAGCCCCAGCTCTCTGGAAAAGGCTCTAATGCTAGGAAAGATGGAAGGAAAGAGAAGAGGACAACTAGCAGCAAGGTGGATGGACTCAGTTACAATAGTATGAGTACACTGTTGCAAGACCTGAAAGATGAGGTTAAGAATAGATCGTAATGTGGAAAATCTATCTAGGTTGCTTGGAGTTGAAAATGACTTGATGGCACATAATCAATCAATTTACAAAACGGCTGTCATGAGAGAATAATCAGTAAGAAAGAAGCAATTCACCACAATGCTACCTGCCACATTTCTAGTCCATCTTCCAGCACAATGTACCCCATTTATCTTTCTCCTTCTTCAATGTAGGTAATCACATTTCTTAACTACGCACTGCATTGCAACCACTCATTTTATTGTCTAAGAACATGTTTCAGTACCCAGAGCCATTTTTGGAAATAAAGAAGATGTTAGAAGTATTTACTAATTAATTATAATTTTTTAAGAATGTAAAAAGTCAGCTATTTCAAGCAGTATAAGCATCCTTTTCACCAGCATATGTACCCCGATCCAATCAAAGGTATAATCCCTGGGTTGCAGCAGCCCCAGTAATCAATAGAATTGTTGGGGTACAACACAACAAAAGATAAGCAAGTTCTTAGAAGGGAACAATCAGGATGATCGCAAATCAGCACAAGTACATTTGAGTAATATATTAACTGAGTTTTTGTATGACATTTAATACCAGATCAGTATTATGAGTTGCCCACACCTGCACAGGGATATTGGCAAAGAAAGTTCACTGAAGTTTTAGGGCTGAAAAGGTTCTATACAAATTGTTTTTCTTAACAAATTTATGGCCAGCTTCTTTCACAATGTTTGTTTACTCCAAAATGGGTGCCAACTGGGGAAACTGTGTAGTGTCCTTTTAAGAATTAATTTCAAGGAAGTTAAAATAAACAACTGGCACTTCCCACTTTGTTCTTATATTTTACTACAGCAGAAACAGCAGCAATGCAAATTGCAAGAGAAAATTTATGTTAAGTGGAAACCAACAGTAAAATATTTGACAGGTTATTTGACATCTCCTGGGAAGTTTGATTTATCCCCCTTTTTTAGTAAAATCAGTTCAGGGGCCTTATTCTTGCCAGCAGCCGTTTTGTTCTTGGTTCAATCATTCAGGGGCTTCCAACTCTTTGTGGCCCAATGGGTATCAGCAACTATTTCTTTGAGAGTTTATTAAAAGTTATAATTTTGCAAGGAGTTTATGATCTGAACTGCAGTCAGAACCAGATATCGTTTTGACAAGCTTCTCCCTTTCTTTGATGAGCTTCTTAATTTGTTTGTCCACGTGTAGGTTTTAAAAAGAAAGTATTTGCTACAAACATTGGGTTTTCTTGGCAGTGTTCCATTAGTTCCGTTTCCTGCTTTATTTTCTACACAAGGGGCAAATGTTCCTGTTATTCCAGATGCTATTTTGTTTCTATATTTAGCATTCCAGTCTCCAAAATTAGAATGGCATCTTAGGGGTGGGATTGTCATCCAGGTGTTGCAGATCATCATAGAATTGTTCAACTTAAGCTTCCTCTGCATCTGTGATAGGAGCATAGACTTGAACCATTGTAATATAGATCGGTTTGGCTTGGATTTGAATTGAATTGAGATCATTCCATCATTTTTGAAATTGTATCTGTACCCTGATTGTGATACTATTTAATAATAATGACTCCTCGATTTCTTCTGATGTTCCTGGCAAGAAAGAACTGATGCTCCTCTGATCTGAAGTGACATGTTCCAGTCCATTTCAGTTCACTGATTCCCAGAATGTCAAAGTTCAATCTTGATATTTCTGCTTTGACAACATCTAGTTTGCCCTGATTTATGGTTCTGACATTCCACACACCAATGAAATATCTACCTTTGCAGCATCAAACTTTTATTTTGCCTCTGGTTATATCAGTAGCATGGCATCCTTTTCACTTTAATCTAGCCACATCACAAGCACCAGTGCTGTTCCCATTTGCCCCCTGCTCTTCCTCATTACCTCACTGGATATCTTCCAACCCAGTATCATGTTAATATTGTCCTAGTTATGAATGTTCATTTGGTTTTCTTGGAAGAATACTGTAATGGGTTGCCATTTCCTTCTCCAGTGGATCATATTCTGACCTCAGTGATGAATTGCCCATCATGTGCAACCCTTCTGGGAGTGTACACTACAAGATAATAATCCATGAAGGGGAACAGCCCTTTAATCTCCAAATAAGACAGTTCTTATCCTCATAATTAATTGTGTTTAGCCTTAGGGCCATATTGGCCTAATTGCATGGTTTTGGGGGCCTGTAAGTACAGTGCAAATCATAGGAAAAAAGTTGTATCTCCCTCTTCTAGCACCATGGTGGGTGAGGAAAAAGAGATGGAAGGAAGAAAGAGATGGTTGAAAGTAAGACTGAAATAGTCCTGCCCATTTTAGTTCTGGCTCCCCATCACTCTTTTGGCCCAACCACTACTAATTTACAGGTCCCAGTGTAGATATGGGACTGGTATGTTTGAATGACCCTCTCCCTCCTGATTTCAGAAATAATATAAAGGCTTGATTGTCTTTAGCTCAGTGTGGTTGTGACTCTGTTGTCTGAGAAGACTTGTATTTTTGTTTGTTTGTTTGTTTCTGAATGTTCAGATACCTGGTTTATGTATGATGAATTTTGATTTATGGTTTTTAATTTGACTACTGATTATGTTGATGATGATATATTTTTCTTTGGTTTTAAAAGTTCAGGAATTATATCTGCTCAGAGTCATTCTGGTTCGGGCAGTTCATAACACCTGTAAATAAATAAGTAAAAATTACCAAACTCAGTTTCATCCTCTGGTATGTTAGGTGATCTTAGCTTTAGGTGTTCTATAGAAATTTGCAAAGTAGTTGACATTAACAATTCCTTTAAAATAAAAATTTGAAAAACTATAGTAGTTGAGATGTTTTTAGCATTTGGTCAGTGTCAGTAATATGACTTGTCGACTTGCTTTAAATATTGGTGTTAAAATAGGTTTCGTATCAGTTCCGCTTAAGGTTTATCTTTCACATTGTGTGAGTGTTTGAATCTCCATTTCTAAATAAATATCTGAAGTTTGGGTGCCCAGATTTCACTTCTGATTTTACCCATTAAAATGCAGAATACAAACTGTAAATTTCTCAAACGGAACTGATATGAAACCTATTTTAACACCAATATTTAAAGCAAGTCTACAAGTCATATTACTGACACTGACCAAATGCTAAAAACATCTCAACTACTAGTTTTTCAAATTTTTATTTTAAAGGAATTGTTAATGTCAACTACTTTGCAAATTTCTGCTGCAGATTTTTCCATTTATTGTAACAGAAAAATCAGAGACAGCCTTCCTCCACTAAATGACTTCTTGATCCATTGGACTACAGTTCCCATCATCCCCTCTTGCCTGGAAAGTACCAGTTAAGAAAGAAGCTGGTCATAAGGAAAGCAGTTTCCTAATTGATAATTTTT